GCTTCATAGGGACAGCATGTGCCCCCCCACCCCTGCCCCATGTCCTATGTCCTTACTATAGAACATATAGTGCCCCCCAAAGGCTTTCTCCAGGGAACCCTGTTCTACCATTGATGTCACATGTCCCCACTTTCATGCTGCTTAGCAGATGAGAGTCTGGGCAGAGTACAAGGGCCAGAGTATGGGAGTTGGGGTTTCTGTTCTCATCAAGTGACAAGAACGGTTCCCCCCCTCTTCACAAAAATCCTCCTTCAGGGGTGAGGCAGTTGAGCCCCCTTCTGCTTCCTCCCTGGTCCAGTTTCCAAGTCAGGGAGTCACCACAGCATGGTCCCCAGCCACCTGCCTACATGCCACCACAACCAGACCAGTCTTTACTTGGGAATAAAAAACAAATGTGTTCTAATAGCTTTGGGGACAAGTGAAATTTCTAAAAGATCTCAACGACAGCAACAGAGCATTAACCTTCAGGGGGTAAGTGAGCATTTGTTCATCATCTCTGAAGGGCTGAAATCAGAGACACGAGAAGTGACAGGCACCAGTGGTGCTGGGTGGTGGCAGCAGGTGCAGCCATTTCAGAACATCTCAGGAGGGTTGGCACTCAGCAGAGAGGAACCTTGGCACACACCCTATAAAAATCTGCCCGGCCCACATCATGCTACCAAGAATGCTCAGAGTGCCAGAGGACTAGCAACCCCACACCAGAATTCACCAATGTCAGTCCACAGTGGATACACAGATTACTATAGGGCCACACGGTAGGCATGACCCTGCAAGGGAACTAACTGCAGACAGCTGTGAAGGCAGTGCAGACAGCTGTGGAGAGAAGAGCATACTGGTATGTCTGAATGCATGTTCATAGCACTGGAAATGAGTCTATGGTATGAAAAAAATGAGGAAAGCTGAGCAACTGGAAAGGGGCACAAGCAAGGGCTGTGTGTCCTGATTGGGGTGTGATTTAAAGAAGCATATGTGTTGGCCGACACTCATTGACCTGCCCACTTAAGATGTGTGCGCTTTTCTGTGTATTAATTCCTCTTCAGAAGACTAAACCCCACTGTCAATAGATACAGAATTCTAGTTGGTAGATTTTGCTTTTCACAGTGGAGTGGGCTAGCGCTTCTGAAACTAATTTTTAAAATGCATTTGGATTCAGAAATGAGAATGAATAGATACATTAAAGATAATAAGAGCTAGGCTTCTCACTGCTAAGCAAGGGAGCTCCAAACATTGAAGAGGACAGCCGGATTACACTCCGCTGCGCAGGAGTATGCATATGAACAAATAGGATCACAAAAATGGGAACACATGCAGATGGATGGATGGATGGATGGATGGATGGATGGATGGATGGATGGGTGGGTGGATGGATGGATGGGTGGATGGATGGGTGGATGGGTGGATGGATGAATGGATGGGTGGGTGGGCATGTGGATGGATGGGTGGGTGGGTGTGTGGATGGATAGGTGGGTGGGTGGATGGGGATGGATGGGTGGATAGATGGATGGACGGATGGGTGGGTGGGTATGTGGATGTATGGGATGGGTGGGGGTGTGGATGGATAGGTGGGTGGGTGGATGGGTGGGTGGGTGGATGGATGGATGGGTAGGTGGATGATGGATGGATGGGTGGGTAGATGGATGGGTGGGTGGATGGATGGATGGGTAGATGGATGGATGGATATGTCATATATGTGCACACAGGTAAACACTTATTACTTTATGAACATGTGTCTATGGTTCCATAAGCATACATCTTTCCCTATACTTTCATCTGTTTCCTCACCAATAAGAAGTAGAATGATATTGCTTTATGTCAGTGAAGGCCTGGAAATGACAGTGGCATAGCAGGCTCACCTGGCTTCCAGATACGGCTTCTAAATACTTTCCTTGGAGGGAAAGCTGAATTCAGGGCTGGCTGAGGAAAGAACGATAAGCCTAGAGTGGTGCTATGGCTGGATAGGAGAGGTTCGAGGAAGGATGGGGACAAGGAAGAGACACAGAACAGCTCCATGTGCTCCACAGGTCAAAACTGGAGCCATTTGGGCATCAAACCAACCAGAAATGCCCACAAGCAATAGCTCAAAATCACAATAAATCACATTTAAGAGTAAAAATAAAATCAAAAGCCATGAGTCTTTCTTTGAAGGAAAGAAAAGATAGAGAAAGCAGAAGGGGATGAGGAAAGAGGAGAAAGCTTTTCCTGTACAGAAAAACATTAACCGGTTTCAAGTATCTCTGGGTCCAATGCCCTTAGAGGACCCAGGGCAGTGCTGAAGGAGGCCATTATTAGACCAAGCTAGACCAGTTAAGAAGCATCACCAGTGAGGAGCTTGGGAAAGGTTAGCAGCCTATGCCCCAGTGTGACAGAAGAAAGGGCCAGGCTAGGAGGGCTGCAGACGTGAGCAAGGCGACATGGGCCAAGGAGATAAGCCACTAGGACACAGCACCTCTGACACATGGACAGCGTGTATTCGGGTGTAGGGTGGATAACAGCGCTGTGTCAACACTGCAGCTCTCGGTTTTGATAAATGAACTGTGACTATGGGAGAGAATGCCCTCATTCTTAGGAACGACACGCGGAAGACATGGGCAAAGGGACACAATGGCTTCGCCCACAGCCACCCACAGCAGTTGTGACACACAAAGGCAAATATTTATGCATGTGGACAGACATATAGTAGTAGAGAGATGATACATGGAATAGATGGATGGATGGAAGGACAGATGGATGGAGGGGAAAGTAGATGGATGGAGGGATGGATGAATGAAGGGAGGGAGGGAGAGAAAAATGGATGGATGGAAGGATGAATGATAGATGGATGACAAGATGGACAGGTTGATATGAGAACACATGGAAAATTGGATAGACAAATAGATAGATGGTGAATGGATGGATAACTAGATGGACAGACATATACATAATTGGATGGATGGATGGATGGATGGATGGGAAATGGGCAAGTGGCTAGATGAATATATGAATGAGCAAGTAGATAAACAGGCAGACAGAAAATTGGATCAATGAATGGATATATGGATGGTTGGACAAGTGAATGGGCAGACAGATAATTGGATGGATGAATGAGTGGACAGACAGGAGGGTGACGTGTGTGTGTGTGTGTGTGTGTGTGTGTGTGTGTGTGTGTGTAAAATGGGTGTGTGGGTGGATGTCAGATGATGAATAGATAAATAGACAGAAGGATGGATGAACAAATGGATAGATGAGTAGATAGGTAGACAGACAGATAGATGGGTAGATGGTTGGATGGATAAGAAGAAAAGAAGTGTAGAGAGAGTAAATAAACATTATCAGGATGCCTGGGAAAGCATGGGATTCTCTGAACTATTTCTGCCATTGTCTTCTAAGTTAGAAACTATATCAAAATACACCTCTAGGCCCTAACCCTAGAGTATTTCCTGAGCCTGTACTTACTAAACTAATTAGGTAATTTGGGCTTGTGTCCTTGACAGCCTGCTAATAGTGCTTCCCACCAACAAGCCTAAAGTACTGAGACTTTCAGCCATTCCCCAACCCATGACTCTAAAGAAAGGCCAAGTGCTTTAGATGAAACTCTTAAATGAGATTTGTCAATTCACAGCTGTAGGCACAGAGGTCCCATGTTCTGTCTATCTCTTATTGTTCGCACCTCCCCCAGGTGGTTCCTAAGTTGAGTCCTGAGGGATACACTGGTCAACACAAGTACGGAGGATTGAGCCAGTGTGCAGTCTAAAGCCCTAAGTGCAGGGTCTGATGGGCTCTGGGGAGTTGTCAAAACTGAGTCAAATGTCAGGTCACACATTTGGCAAACAGATTTGATTGTAGGGTTGAAAAAAAATGCCTGCGCCCCAAAAACAAAGTGAGTAGTGAGTAGGTGTTCCATAAACAGTGACTGGGTAAGGTGCTGGGTGAGTCAGCTGGGCCTGCCCAGGCAGGTCTAGATAAGAGCCTTGTTTCAGATCCTCCTCTGTACAGCTCGCCAAGCTGGCCCTCATGGCCCTGCAGCTAAGAGAACCCAACCTCCCCCACTTCACCATCCTGTGTCCTCCCCTGGCCCAAAGGAAGCAGAGACCTTGGCAGTCACATGTTTAAGGGGCTCAGTGAACCTCATTCTATAATATCTCTGTATCCGAGCCTCTTAGAAGGAGGGCAAGAGGAGGCACCATCTGCATTCTTTGCAAAGTTGTTGCAAAGGCAGCTGGGATACCCACCCCACATAACTGGGAAGTGAATTCCTCTGGGCACCCAGAGGATCTGAGCCACAGATACCCATATGTGGGGCTCACACTACTTAGGCATGCAGGGCTTCCTTGGAGTTCCCAGGGCCCCTGATCTGCCCACTCCTATGGGAGCGGTGAGCTGCCTGTCAATCAGAACAGGTGAGTCTGGCTTCGAAATCCTCCACAGAATCAACAGGATGAGGCTCTGGCCACCTGTGTGTCTGCCTGGTATTAGTGTTCTTGCTTAATGCTTATTTCCAAAACTACGGAAGATAATAGATGACCCAACTGTGAAACAGAAAACCCTTTTGTATATGCGAACCTCAGCAAACACTGCACATCTGCTAGGGACCAGCCCACGCGTGAACTCCCATGGAAGTCTCCAGAATGAAGGCTCTGCATGCCAGCAGCCCTCACACAGGCATTGTGGGATCAACAGTCCAGTCAGCCCCTGAACAGTGGGTCTTAGGACCAGTGCCTGTGGTGGGCATGTGGCCATGAGGCCCAGGTAGAAATAAGTTACTCTAGGAATTCAGTTTTTCCGGGCCTGGTGTGACACAGAATAGAAGCTTCATTCCAGAAGCTAGACTTTGAATAGTGATTATTTGGGGAGAGAGAAGGAGATAGAAAGGTCAAGAGGCAGTAGCCAGAGAGGATGGTGCCAGCACCCGGGTAGGTGGGGCTCTGACTCAGGCTGGGGAGGAGCAGAAGGCAGGCACCTTGCTGAGCAGGCTAGACAGGAGAGCTAGTTTTATAGCGAGAGCCAAGCAGAGGGAACAGCCAGTAGAACCACAGGCATTATGCTGTGTGCTCTAATTCTCTGGTCTGGTCTCCTGGGGGCCGCCAAGGCCAGCCCCATCTCGGTTCCCCAAGAGTGTGCCAAGGGTTCGGTGGTATGGTGTCAGGACCTGCAGGCAGCTGTGAGGTGTCGAGCCGTGAGGCACTGCCAGAGTGCTGTCTGGAGCAAGCCCACAGTCAGGTCCCTGCCCTGCAGTGTGTGCCAGGATGTGGCTGCTGCTGCTGGTAATGGAGCGAACCCAGATGCTACAGAGTCGGACATTTTGGTATCAGTAATGAAGACCTGTGAGTGGCTTCCAAACCAGGAGTCTTCAGCTAAGTGCAAGTGGATGGTGTACAACCACAGTGCGGCTGTCCTGGGCATGCTCAGTGGAGCTCCGGGCAGTGCCTCAGCTTCGGTATGCACTGCGCTCACCCTCTGTGAATCGCTACAGAGGCACCTAGCTGTGACCACCTCGGAAAGACCACTGACCCAGGAGGATGCAAATGAGTTGATGGCCCCATTCTTGACCAATGGGGCCCTGAGCTTCCACCCATCACAGATGCCTGGAGCTGCCGTGTGTCATGATTGTGTCCAGCTGATCTCCCGGCTCCAGGGTGCTCTAAAGTCTAACTTGACCTTGGCAGAGGTAACTGTCCAGAGCCAGTGTCAGTCCATGGGGCCTGGCCTGGCTGCCCTCTGCGAGAACTACATCCACCGGCAATTTGTCCCTGCTAAGCAAACACTGCAGATTCTCCCCCCTCAGGAGGTCTGCAAGAAAGGGGGCTTCTGTGAGGAGCAGAAAGAGTCTCCCCACTGGCTGGCTCAAGTGGCCGCTGTAGATGGAGTCCCCTCTCTGGAGATGGAGCTGCCGAGGAAGAATGAGTTGCAGATGCAGTTGGGCCTGACATGCGATGTGTGCTTGAACGTGATCCAGGAGCTGGACAATTGGCTTGAGACCAACAGCACGGAAGCCCTCATCAGCCACACCCTGGAGCGAGTGTGTTCCATAATGCCTGAGTCTCTAATCCAACAGTGCATCACCCTGGTGGACAACTACAGCCCCAGCTTGGTGCAGCTCGTGTCCAAAGTTGCCCCAGAGAAAGTGTGTGAGACCATCAGACTGTGTGGCAGCAAAAGGCAGGCCAGGTCTATCTCCAGGGCGGTGACAACCACACCATCCCCGCTCATGGATGAGGAAAACCACGGTAGCTTCTGCCAAGGTTGCCAAAGGCTGCTGAGCATGTCTTCCCAGAATCTAGACCGCAAGAGCACCAAGCGGGACATTCTGAATGCCTTCAAAGGTGGCTGCCGGATTCTGCCTTTGCCTTACCTGCTGCAGTGCAACCGTTTTGTGGCCGAGTATGAACCTGTGCTCATAGAGAGTCTCCGGTTCATGATGAACCCCACGGACCTATGCAAGAAGATGGGGGCCTGCCACGGCTCCAAGGTGACACTTCTAGGCACAGATCAGTGCGTCATGGGCCCCAGCTTCTGGTGCAAGAGCCCAGAGGCCGCCGAGATGTGTGATGCCCTGGAGCACTGCCAGCGCCTTGTGTGGAAAAAGCCTGTCTCCAAAACCAATGAGCAGCCATGACTGTGGCCACCAGAACCCAAAGCCTGTCAGGGGCCAATCCTACCTGCAGGCTTCTGCCTCCCAAGCGGACCTTATGAAGTGGGTGTTATCCCCATGTCGTAGGTAAAAAGCTGAGGCTCTGAGCCTCAGGGAGTTGGGGCAGAGTGGAGCTGATATTCAAAGCCATGATGTCCTGATGCTGGGCAGTGTCATTTTTTCTGTCTCTGCCCTCACCACCGTCTCTAACAAACAGAAGGTCCCTCCTTATCCCTGCCCCAGTAAGCCACCCTCTCCTGCTGTGCTGTGATGCTGATGGCCTCCCATGCAGGGTGAGAGCCCAGCTGTGTGTCAAAGCAGCTGCAGGAGGGTCAGATAGGTAAGGGTAGGTCAGTAGAGGGGACCATTACTAGTTGGGCTAGTGGCTCTTACCAATAGTTTGGGGTAGAGGTTGGGTATTCTCAGGCTAGGGTCTCTCAGGTTGGCTCTCGGTGGTGCAGTTGGGGCATGAGTGGCTCTGGACTTCTGAGGGAGGGTCCTGGGTCATTGGCTACCACCCACAAGGGACATTTGGACTTTATATGACTCTTTTCCATGTCTTGTCTCACCAAGAGGAATTGGTCCACCCACCCAGACTTCAGCCCTCCTGGTGCTAAGCAATCTGGGGTGTACTTAAAATCAGGAGAAAAAAAAACCCTGCTGGGTGAGCAGTGGGGAAAGCCCTGAGGGGTGTGGAATGGCTGTAGCACGGGAAGTAGCAAGAGGTCCACCCTAGTCAGCAGTCTGCTGAGCCTCGGTTTTCTAATCTGTAGACTGGGAGGATCATGTCTGCCTCATAGGGATGTTAAGACAGTTTTAGGAGACGTCCTCAAGCTCTTTCACTTAGAGACTGGTACCCAATGACCTACCAGGATCAGCAAAATCTATCTTGGGAATCAATAGGATCTCTGGGGAGTCTGACCAAAGAAGTTTATATAAACCAGAAGCTTTCTCCAAACAATGTTTGCTGGTTTTGTTCTAATGGAAGAGCATGGTCCCTGGGGCTTCACAATCCCTTCCTCACAGCCTCCCATGGGTGTACCTCCGGTGGGAAGGCTTGTGTATCTCATGTACCCACTGCCAGTCTTTCATTTGTAGACTTCAGTGCCTTATAAGCCCCTGGATTGATGTCTTTCTGCAGAGGCCTCAAGTCCAGCACAAGACCTGCACACCATAGATGCTCAACCATCTGTGGCATGTGGACATGAGTTCCTGTGCAGAGCTCACCACTGCCTGGGAGGGGCTGAGACTTTCTTGGCCTGGCTGGCCAGTGGTATGAGTAGGCGCTCTCTCCTGAGGGATACACTGGGTTCTTAGGCAACTATTTTGATCTGGGCCATCATTCAAGGCCATGAGTATAACTAGCTAGAATCTCTTGAGTCCTGTGTGCTGTCATTGTTGTCTGGTCAGCCCTGAGCAAGAAGAGGAAAGCAAGAGGCATAAACTGTCTGCTGTGACCCATGCACAGATGTGGCCTTGGGGATCAGGTCCCAAAGCACAGATTGAGGTCACCAGTCACCATTTGAAGCCTACTCATCTCCCCAGGAGCCTTGAGCAGACCCTCCTCTGTTCTGACAGTAAGCCAAGAGGGACACTTGCTAACAGTTGTATGTGACATGTCACGGCTCTTCTTGACCTGACATTTCCATAGAGACATCACCAACCACATAAGCCAGGCCTGCTGGAGACCAGGAAGTGGTGAGTGCCAAATCCTCTTTGTCTCTGATCCCATTTCACTGCCTCCAACCCAGATCTACAGTGAGGGACAGGCAGGGTGGGGTCTCTCTTCATCCCATTCCTCTCCTCTCCTCAGCTCAGGGCCAGGAGTCAGTTGTTTCCTCAGTCCACTGATAAATGTGCCCCACATATACATGGCCCACAGGAGCCTGCCACAGAACATACAGAACATACCTGACAAGATCCCACAGGCCCACTGCACACTGTGGCTGGCAAGGCACAGGTTTTCTATACCCAGTCACAAGGACTCCAGCTGGTCCACACTTTTGATCTTCACTCACCCTGCACTTTGTGGCTGAGGGACAAGAGGAGTGGTGGGCACTGGGGGTGACAGTGGCAACTTCCATCAGACCCACAAATTTACCTAGTGGCCAGGAATGGCAGCTCAGCTGAGGGACAAAGACCAACTGGACAGCTTTGTATGCTGCTTGCTTCAGAAGGGACCTCAGGCAGAGCTGCCATCCTTACCACACCCACCAGTGGGACAGATCCTGCCTGTAAGGGTGGGGTGCAGGACATGAAGCAACTGGAGGTGGGGACCACAGTGCCCTGATTAAGATGGGATCAGGGGTTCTGTCCAGCTGCCCAGGTGGAAGATGCCAGAAACTTCTACTACACAGGTCATGCGTGTCTATCAGATGCCACCAACAGGCAGAGATCTAGACGGGTAGGAACTCAACCAGGGTTCATGGCTTCTGAATTCCTTAGATCAGGGTTTGAGAGGTTTGGGGTTAAGGGTTTGGCACCTGGGCCATTTGCTAAGAACAGCCTTCAAAATGGTAAGTAACTAGCAAATATGGACCTGATGGAGCTAGGTTCCCATGCTACAACCCAAGAGTGATGTCCTTGTGAGAACACTGAACAACTGTGGACCCCTTCAGTGTCCCCCAGTGGAGCTGATACCTCAGCCTGCACCTTTGAGCGCTTCACATGCCTCTGTGCTGAAGGCTCTGCAGAGCCATCTAACAGCCTTTCTTTTTCTTTGCAAATAAATTACACAAACTCTAGGCACTTCTGGAAAATAGAAAGCCATCCACAAGGTAGCCCCTTCCAGAACTGGTGCCCACAAGAGACCAGGGAAGACCCCACTGCTGTCCCCTTCATCCACTGCCTGTTTCACTTCCTTTTCCCCAACGGCACTATTCATATTTTCCTGCCAGGAAGTGGCATCTACACACTTTGAAGAAGACATAGAGGCCCAAGGAGGGTAAATTGAAGGTTACCCTCAGGGAAGCTTTTTGTGCTGGAAGGTCTCTTCCAGATCTGGGTGGGTGGGCATCCTGGAAAGCAAGGCCCCAGAGTCATTGCAGGCCTTAATCTATCTGTTCACCTGCTTCCAGTGCTAGCCAGCTCCCAGATTCCTGAGTCTGTACCCTGAGTGTGGGAGAAACCGAAAGAAGTAGTTTTCTATACACTCAGCACTGAATAGCAGCTAAACACCACAGTATAGGGGGCAGGTGGGCAATGAGACCGTCTGTCCTATCTGGAAACCACAGCACAGACCACTCCTCCTGTGTCCCAGGAGAAGGACTCCTCTGCCCCTCCAGAGTACTGGACCCATGATTTGAGGGTTTTAGTTTCCTATCTATAACTGAAAAAAGTAGGAGCAAGTGGACGCATGTGTTCTAATATCCCTAAAATCCCCCAAGTGTGGGCAGTGTAAAACTTGGTTCTCTCCTGTCCACAACCCAGCCCAAGAAAGATGTCCTTATGAGGACACTGGGCCATGCTGATTCTTCCAATGTCACCAATGGAGCTAGAACCTCTGGCTGCACCTATGAGAGCTTTGTGTGCCTCTATGCTGAAGGCTCTGTAAAGCCAGTCTAAAGTCTTCTGCTGGCCAGAGCAAACATGCCTATAGGTTGGACTGGGCCCCTCCTCTAGCTGTGAAAGAAGGAGCACAGCCTGGGTATCTCAACACCCAGGTGCAGCTGGAAAACCTTGCTATTGTCTATGAGCTCTCCACTGAACAGGGAGGGACTAGACATGACTAAGCTTCTGACCTGAGAGGGTGACACATGACTTAAGCTATTTACTTAGGAAAGCAGAAATAGTTTCGGGAGACAAGGGAAAGTCACACCACTTCCAAACCAGTTTCTCGGGGTGACAATCCCTAGGCCACAAAAGAGAGGCCCAAGAAGAACAGAAAGAGAAAGTGACCTTTCTGTAAGCAGAATTCTTTGGCACCTGGATCCAGTGATCCCATCTCAAGAGAGAAGTGACTTGGGATACTGTCCAAAACTGCCCAGGCTAATCCCCTGGGATTCTGGAAGCTGCTATCATTTTACAGTGATCTAGGGTCAGGGGTTTGAGGGACACAACAAATCTGAATACCTGCTGGCTGCTAAGTTTGCCAAATGTAATGCTGGCATCTGAAGGGATGAAGCAAGTCCAGGGAGGGTCCATGCAGCTCTGGAATCGAGAAGCCACACCTGAACCAGAACATCTAGGTTCCCTAGTTCCCCTAGTTGGGCCATGGGTGTCAACCCAGGACAGCAACCATGCCAGATTTCCAGAAGCTTCTACAGAGACTTCATGGCCTTGATTCCCTAAAACCCAGATTACAGCTCATATCAGAGGGGTGACCCTCCATGGGTAACTGGGGCACATCTACAGTGGCAGTATGGTAGGAGGGCTTATAGGATCTTGAAAGAAGACCACCTCTCCTGGTGCCTGCATATGATACATCAATGTCCCGGGTCCTGCTGACTTCTGTTGAGACTCTTTTAGGGCAAGCCAGGCTAGTACAGGGCTTCTGTGTGACAGCTACAGGTACTCATGCTGAGGGTTGTGTCCCAGCACAGTTATTCCTGTCAGCGGGAGTGGTGTAATCACCACAGTTGGAGACTTTAAGGAAGACACCAGATCTTTCCTCATGGCCCCTTCCTCCCTCAGCACAGAGGACTGTATACACCCAGGTTCCATAGCTCTGAGATCAGGATAAGCCTCCAGGAAGGGCAGGCAAAGATATGAAGTCAACAGTGGTCGAGGATGTCTGGGGACAGTGGGTTCCCAGGCCCAGATGAGTGAGGCGGAGCACTTCCCCATAAGCCTTCCTGCCCAGAGACACCACACTTGTTGGGGCTTTCTGCAAAGTGTAGGGAACGAGAGACTCAAAACTAGCAGAACATTCCAGAACCAGGTACCCAGAAACAGCAGTTGCCATTTCCCAGCCCAGCACCTCAGGGTCTATCACCACTCACACATGGCTGAGGAAGATAAAAGGGTTAGGGAGGGTGGCAAGCCAGGAGACCAAAGCTCTGGGGAAAGCTCAAATTTTCCATTTGCTCTGTCGGGTCAGCCATGTCCTCATTGGCCACTGCCCACAGACCCAGAAGTTCCTATGAATTTTCAGGACTCCAGAGCTCTAAACTGCAGGGAGCCAGTGTGCTCACACATGGAGAGAGGATAAAGGCAATGCCTCTAACCCATTCGGTATCTGGGAACATGCCTTGTCAGCTTGAAGCTGGCTGTGGTAGGAGAATTCAGTGTTGACACTGGCCAATGCTACACACCGCAGGTGGAAGGTGTCCTACTTTTCTAGGCCTACTGGCTGTCACACACTCAGAAGCACCTCACTGTTCCCAAGGTCCTGAGACACGAGGAACCACAGAAAGCACCACACCCTGAGGAAGCCATGGGACGCCCAGGCTTCCTGAAAGTTGTCCTAAGCCAGGTGTGGAGCAAGCATGAAGGCTGGGCCATCTGAACAGAACAGACCAGGTTAGCATCTCAGGTTGAAGATGAAGGAAGAACCCCATTGATCAGCTCTCCATCAGCGGAAGTGGGGGGAAGGGGCTGGGAAAGACTAGGACTATCCCACAGGCTCTACTGGACCAGCAGTTCTCAAAGCACAGTGGGTGGGGATGGGGGCGATGGGAACTGGAGGTAGGGAAATGGGGGGTACAGGACTGTCACTGAGAAGGCTGCTGTTCACTCAAGCATGCTACTAAACATGCAAGGCAGATGAGACACATGCAAGGAAATGATGCCAACAATGACATCTGAAAGGAAAATGACATTAATATAACGCCAAAATAATATGAAAATCTTAAGGATTGTATGTAATCCCAGGAGACTGTGAGAAACTCAGTGGAGAGAAAACAACAGGGCGAGAGCACCTCAGGAGAGAGATGCTCCAGGCGGGGCCTTCAGGCAGCTCTGGGGAGGCCATTCTGCTGGAAGCTGACGTGTTAGACAGGTTAGAGGGC